CATGGTGAGAGAATATATATTATATATATATATATATATATATATATATATATATATATATATATATATATATAATATATATATATATGTCGTGCCGAATAGGCAGAACTTGCGATCTTGGCTTAAATAGCAACGCTTATCTTGCTATATAGGACAAGCGAAAATTTGTGTATGCAATAATTTCGCTAAAATCATTCTGAACCTAACGAAAAAAATATATTTAGTTGGGTTAAGCTAAAATAAATTGCTCTTGTTATAATAAGGTTAGGTAAGTTTTCCAAGTTTCTTTTGGTGCAAAATACATGATAACGACATACAAGATACTGCGGGGAATAGACAAGGTGGACAGAGATAGGATGATCCAGAGAGGGGACACAGGGACAAGGGGTCACAACTGGAAGCTGAAGACTCAGACGAGTCACAGGGACGTTAGGAAGTATTTCTTCAGTCATAGAGTTGTCAGCAAGTGGAATAGCCTAGCAAGTGAAGTAGTGGAGGCAGGAACCATACATAGTTTTAAGAAGAGGTATGACAAAGCTCAGGAAGCAGAGAGAGGACCCAGTAGCGATCAGTGAAGAGGCGGGGCCAGGAGCTGAGTCTCGACCCCTGCAACCACAATTAGGTGAGTACACACACATTATATATATATATATATATATATATATATATATATATATATATATATATATATATATTTATATATATATATACATATCAGTAACAACACTGCGACTAGCGGAGGATTCAAACCCATGTCGTTTTGACATTGCTTCGTGGTAAGCGACAGCCACGTAACGCTCTAACCCAGTGGACCACACAATCCTACAAAAATCAAGCACCCAGCACAGCTAGGTATTTTACCTCGACCCGAGGACATACGGTGGTGTGGGTGCCTCTGAGCTAATTTCATTCTAATCCCGGTTTGGTGTACTAGCCTCCACAAACTGATAATAGTTCAAGACTTTTACCAGTTTGACCGTAATAAACTTTATCACATATTTGACAAGGAATCTTATAGACACATCCGTCAGCATTTTGGGGGAATTTTTTATCAAAAGATTTTTAACTCTGTCAAGATTTTTAAATACAACTTTGATATTAAAATTCTTAAGTAGAGAAGGCATATCAACCAAGATTTCATGGTAAGGGAGAACCAACATATTTTTAGTTGAATAAGGTTGGTTGTCCCTTTTTGAAGTGTAAAAAGTATTTCTAGCTATTTTAAAGGATTTATTCAAAAAAGGACAACCAACCTTGTCGACTCTGTGTACCTTGTGCCGCTGTACCTAAACGGGAAAGGATCTCAATAGCCACATTTAGGTATTAGTGCGCATGTGCGATTGTCCTTGGATAGCCCAAAAAAAAGAGAGAGAGACCTATTGAGGTTCTAAACCTTTTAGGTATAGCAGTACAAGGTACACATAGTTGATTGCAACATGGTGATTGCAACTAGTTTAGTGGTTTACTGAATTAGGTAGTTAGTAATATAATAATGATAATGATAATAATAGGGATAATAGTGGCGTTAAAAAGAAAAAATCATGAATTTCCTAGTTATATAAGAAACAAAAGCCCGAACAGGAGAGATCATACAAACATATTGACGCTGAGAGTATTTCTTGAATATTCTAGAAAGTTCTGGGAACAGCGGATATTATCTGCTGACAAAGAGAGGGCATGTATTCCTTCTGTTTCATTAGTTAGAAGATTGTACACAACAGCTACATTCTGTATGTTGATGATCCACTACTGTAATGTAACTTCTTACGTCACATGACCTGTTCCCGATGGTTAGAAGCTTAGGACTGGCTATTAACTATCTCCTAGTTACTCTATCTTATACTATCTGCAAACTGTGGGGGCTACCCCACCCGACCCCATATGGGGAGGGGAGTGGGGGTATCGTTGGTGGTTGGTATTCGGTCAGGCCTCCCCTCCCTCATTCAGAGAGGGGTTCTTGAGGGTGCCACCCACGTTACCATGCTCTGAAAAACATCCCCTCATTTTCTCCTGTTGCTGCCCTTGCAACATTACACAGCTCCTGATGACACTCTGAGAAATGTGAAAGTACTTTAGCTTAAGATTTCTACCCCCTGTGGTTCGTTTTCCATGTATATGTATATATACAACAATCAAAATGAAAAATAAAATAAAAAATACATGACAAAATTTATAAATTTCATATATCTTTTTAAAGCTAGAACGCATTCCCAGAATACACTTAGACGCTAAAACAATAAAAAACTGGCTGCCCTAAGATTGTTAGTTTTCCTGATTTGTTAGTTTTCCAATTTGTGTATGAACGCTGATGCGCTCTTTTCCAATGAGTCGAAAACATGTAATGATGTGCAAGTTCAATATTTTCTCTGATAAACTGAAAACATGTGTCAGCCAGTGTGAATGTGTATGCTTAGTCTCACACCTCTTCCTTGCCCTCTGTCCAGGCTTGAAAGTAATTCAGTCAGGACACTTTTGGATGCCATTGGACCTGCATAGTTGGAGAGGTTTTTATAATACTGGGCATTTAGTTATTACAAGGATTCTCATGATGATGTTGTTAACCTTCTTCGTGTCTTTAGATCTTTTCCTCAAACCTACGGCAAACAAGATCAAGGTACCTGAATCTGTCTGTGATGACTGTAAAGATGCACCTGTAACTAGCGAGCGTAATGTTAGCAACTCCAAAGTCAATAGTGTGCACGACGAGACCTTTGCCTCGAAACTGGAGATGGTCAACAACAACAACAACAAAACCGTATGAGGCGCTGACTGTCATTATCAGGAGCCAGTGAGTGTTTACCTGACAATGTATTTAAAACTCAGATCACTGAAAGAAGACAGCAGATAGAAGTAGATGATGTCAAATGTGATTAAAATTGTTGTTCAGTTTTATACAGCATTCACGTGAGAGTTCTACATAACATGTGAGAGTTCTGTTTAGTATGTCGGAGTTCTCTGCTACATGTGAGTGCTCAATACAGGAAAATGTTCTGTATAGTGTGAGAGTTCTTTATATAATCAGAGTTCTATTTATTATGTCGGAGTTCTCTATAGTATATTGGAGTTCTAATGTGGTATTTGGGACGTACATGTAGCATGTGAGAGAGGTATACAATATGCGAGGTTCTATATAATATATTAGGGTTACATACCGTAGCTGTGTTGAGCATGCCGAAGTTCTTTACAACTGTCCATAGCACGAATAACACTGTCAGGTTCTGTATTGCCTTGGCTACACAAGTACAGGTATTCTGTATCATCGCAACTATAAATGATGCAGAGTCTTCAGCTATACAACATACAAACTCTTCTGTCAGTCTTGATAAAACTGCAGCATATATGCGGATATAGGGCTTATATACCGGTGGCAGGTGAGGTGGAGCAGTGGTAGACGGTCATTAGAGCACGAAACCACTAGTGGAAGTAAGTCGTGCCTACAGGTTAGAAAAGTTTTGAAGAAATCCGTGCGTCAAAATGTTGCTCTGTCTGACAGGAATTTCTACAAAACCTATTTAGCCTATAGGCACAACAAACTTCCACTAGTGGTTTTTTCCACTAATGACTCCGCCTACCACTGCTCTACCTCACCTGTCACCAGTATATAAACCACATCTACGCATATATGCTGCATTTTTGTCAAGATGGATGGACTGAACACATCGACTCCAGGCTGAGGGACAGATTACCTCAAACTCTTCATCTTTCACCTTTCTCTGCATTGGACTGAAGAAGCCACTGGCTGGCGAAACGTTTCCAGAATAGAGATACCGACATGTTGCACAAGTGTCTTATTTATCAACTTGTCGGTTTTCTAAACCATTTATTCTCATACAGAACCTTCATTACCTTGGCTACACAACAACATACAGTGACTGCATTATCTTGGCTTCACAACAACATACAGTGACTGCATTACCTTGGCTTCACAACAACATACAGTGACTGCATTACCTTGGCTTCACAACAACATACAGTGACTGCATTACCTTGGCTACACAACAACATACAGTGACTGCATTACCTTGGCTACACAACAACATACAGTGACTGCATTACCTTGGCTACACCAAAAACATACAGTGACTGCATTACCCTTGGCTACACAACAACATACAGTGACTGCATTACCTTGGCTACACAACAACATACAGTGACTGCATTACCTTGGCTACACAACAACATACAGTGACTGCATTACCTTGGCTACACAACAACATACAGTGACTGCATTACCTTGGCTTCACAACAACATACAGTGACTGCATTACCTTGGCTACACAACAACATACAGTGACTGCATTACCGGCTCACAACAACATACAGTGACTGCATTACCTTGGCTTCACAACAAAAATACAGGACTGCATTACCTTGGCTACACAAAAACATACAGTGACTGCATTACCTTGGCTACACAACAACATACAGTGACTGCATTACCTTGGCTTCACAACAACATACAGTGACTGCATTACCTTGGCTTCACAACAACATACAGTGACTGCATTACCTTGGCTACACAACAACATACATTTGACTGCATTACCTTGGCTACACAACAACATACAGTGACTGCATTACCTTGGCTACACAACAACATACAGTGACTGCATTACCTTGGCTACACAACAACATACAGTGACTGCATTACCTTGGCTTCACAACAACATACAGTGACTGCATTACCTTGGCTACACAACAACATACAGTGACTGCATTACCTTGGCTTCCAACAACATACGTGACTGAATTACCTTGTTTCACAACACATACAGTGACTGCATTACCTTGGCTTCACAACAACATACAGTGACTGCATTACCTTGGCTACACAACAACATACATTCTGTATTACCTTAACTACTCAAAATACAGCATATAGTCTTCATTACCATGACTACACAACATTCAGAGATTCTGTATTACTTAAGCTATGCAACAGAAGTGTATACCGGGAGACTCCAATGCGCTCAGCAAAAGGCAGCTCAGTAGCGACTCACCTTTTCTGAAGCACTTGCGGCTCCTGTCTATGTGGATCTTGGCCCCCGTGACGCATGCGGCGCGATGTAGTTCACAATGGTTGAGGTAGAGGCGCTCGTCGGTGCCGCAGACCAACTTGCGGTGCCGCGAGCAGAAGGGTTGACACTCGCACTGGGGCTCACTCATGTGGTCCAGGCGACACACGCGACCTCGCTCGCAGAAGTGCGCCTGGCACGGGTCTAATGGAACAAGAGGGAAATTTTTTTTTACACACTGGACTGAACGAGCGGACAACTCTGGATCTACTGGACACTGCAGGGTACAGCTGGTAAACAGGGTACCACATAATGAAAAAGGTTGGGAATTTTGGGCAAAATATGTTTCTTCCTACAACAGGTACATCGTGTGTCAAAATTGGAAGTTACGGGAAAATTTATTGTTCTGGGGCATTACGAGTAGTTCTAAGACAACGAGTAGTTGCTTAATAACACAGTGTGGACCATCGCACGTTAAGGCTATAAAGGGAAGAAATAACAGGTACAAACCAAATGTTTCGAGAAACATATGATAGATGTTAGGAAGAGTAGCATGTCAATAAGACATGGTAACTATAAATTATGAAACATTTAGAGTTCGTGACCAGAACAGGCAGTGCAAAAAGAAACTGAGAACTCCTGGCTCACATCTGGTACTCTCCTTGAACATTTGTGGTACTGTTAGATTAAATCTGATACTCTCAGATTATAAGTGGTGTTGCTAGACTATATCTGGTACTCATAGACTATATGTGGTAATCTTAGATAATATCTGGTACTTTAGATCAAATGTGGTACTCTTAGATTATATCTGTTGTTTAAAGATCATATGCAGTACTCTTAAGTTATATCTAGTACTTTTTATAATATATTGTAGTAAATATATTTTGCTAAATTAAATACATATTTACAATACTAACTTAAATTACATCTGTTTCTTTCCTGTTTGTTTCAGTGTGTTTCGGCTCTTATAACTTAAATCATGAAATGCTGACGGCAAAAATAACTTATTTAGAGAGGAGGATCTGCCTGTATTATTCTTTTTGAATATTGCTGTATTATTGATTATTTGCTCATTTATTTTGTGCGGACACGGACACGTACTATACATCCCTATTGCACACATTTTATTTTTCTTCCTTAGTATATTTTTTTCCACCCTACCCCATTTTATCTCACGTTTCCCATTATTCTCTCACATCACCTCTCCCGTTTCCCCTCTCATTACCGCTACTTCTTCTCTTCCTTATCCATGCATGTCGCAATTATGTGGATTTCTGTTGGTTAAATGGCCGTATTGGCATTCAGAGAAATAAAGAGACTGAATCTGCTATTCTTGGTTTTGTAACAGCCTCCAACTTCACAGCGTCATAAACCACATTCGTAGATATATCCTAATAAAATAATAGGCGAGTGCCATCTTACACAAGGTACCCTCAACCCCAAAAAAAATTAATATGAAGCAATCGCAGTAAACTGAAAATAGGTCAAACTTATACCTCACCTATAGGTACCATCCAGCAACAAGCGAGTGTTACTGCTTGCTTACCATTATGGCCTTCACTTAAGTCGGCGGTGTTCATAATTACAAAGATACTTACTAGAACCTCATGGAAATTTTAGGACAATCATTTGAAGATAAAAATTTATTGAATTTTTCACTGATGTTTGTTATTTTACGTAGTTTGATCGTATTTACATCGTTTTCGTTCGTGCTAATAGTTTGTATTTTGGTTATTTAGTTTCACCCTGTATATTTTATGTTGCATCGTATACATATTTTATGGTCATGAGACGGAACACTACCAAGCAAAGCTTAGTTCATGTTATTATAAAGAACTGACTCACGAAATCGTAATGACACGATTGCAAACAAAGCCATACCACGGGCGGGATTTGAACCCGCGGTCAGAGAGTCATAAAACTCCAGACCGTCGCGTTAGCCACTGGACCAGCTAGCTTCAATAAGATTCGTCCAACTAGGTGGACACAGTGGTGCCTATGCTAACCTTCCTATGGTGTAGAAATACATAGTTGGACGAATCTTATTGAAGCTAGCTGGTCCAGTGGCTAACGCGACGGTGTGGAGTTTTATGACTCTCTGACCGCGGGTTCAAATCCCGCCCGTGGTATGGTTTATTACAAGGAAGTAATCAAACAACTAATCAAGAAGAAGTGAAAAAGTGACTAAAGGATGCCGAAGGTGAACTGAGAGGACACTACACAACAATTGTATAATACAGAGTAACTAATTCCTGTTTATGTTATTTTTTCCGTTTCATCGAAAATTTAAATATGTTTATTGCTAATCTATTACCTTTTCATATTTTTCAATGCATTTAATTTTTATTGTATATATCATTAATTCATACATATGTTTAAAAACCAAATAGGGTCCACTTCTGCTGTAGTATGCGGGGGTCTCACACTTCATATATACACCGAGGTGTACATTTCACAAGTAAATATGTTAAGAGTTAACTTTAATCCTTATTTTAGATATTAAAGTAAGCTAGTCTGATGTTGGAAAGTTATGTGTGGGTGTGTATGTCAAAAGTTCATTGATGGACTCTGGTGGCCTGGTGGTTAACGCTCTCGCTTCACACGGTGAGGGCCTGGGTTCGATTCCCAGCCAGAGTAGAAACATTGGACGTGTTTCTTTCCACCCTGTTGTCTATGTTCCCCATCAGTAAAATGGGTACCTGGGTGTTAGTCGACTGGTGTGGGTCGCATCCTGGGACACTGACCTAAGGAGGCCTGGTCACAGACCGGGCCGCGAGGGCGTTGACCCCCGGAACTCTCTCCAGAAACTCCAGAAACTCCAGATGGAACCAAGCTAGGGGATAATCTAACAGGCTCCCTAACTAGACCTGCTGCTCCCAAGGACTACAAACTGATACACTGGAAGGGTCAGTAGTGGAAAATAAAGCTTCAATAATGCTGCAGAGTGCGTGGGGAAGGTCTGAGCTAGCCTCTTAGCAGTGAGAATCCGTCAAGCGTGGGGATTGCCTGTTGGCTGCGCTCAGTTCATCCCTTTGCACACGCCTCGACCTTGCTGCCTCTATCCTAGCCACACACAGGTGTATTCGCCACAGAGCATGGACAGACCGATTTAGGTACCATAATCTTGTGTGCCGAAGTTCCAGGTGAAAGACTACAATGCATGAAGAGGTTAATAACGTCATCAAGAAGAGCCTCACAACAGCCTAATGCTCAGTAAAGAGGGAGCCACCCCCATCTATTCAGTCTCTGACAACCAAAAACATCCAATGTAATTAACAGGAAAACCTGGAAAGGAAAGCAAGTGGGTGGGAGTAAAAATGTGCGTTCCGTCTCCAAACCCCAGGGGACACCGCTGGGTTCAGGGACCCCCCAAAATATGTATGAAAATATGTGACGGCCCCTCTTTTGGGGGACACCGCTAGGTTCAGGAGCCCCAAAATATGTATAAAAAATATAGGACGGGGGCCATCTTAGGGGAAACCTCTGGGTTTCGGGGAGCCCCAAAAAACATGTATAGAAAATATAGTGAGCGGGGGACCCATTTGGGGACCTGCTGGTTAGGGAGCCCCAAAACTAGTATAGAAAATTGTGAACGTGCCTCTTATATGTTTGTTCCAGGCTCAAGCCCCTTTGGGCCCTGGAAAAAGAGAGTGGCAGCTGTGAGAGGTCATGTTTTAAATTCCTGGAAGCCGAGACTCTTAGGAATCGATGATTTTTTGTTAAAATAATTGGAGATTTCTGAAAATTTGCTAGAAAAAGGACACAAATGCAAAAAGGTTACATTTTACTGTGGCGTTTCGCTTTTCCCAAGAGCTTTTTAAGCCGTTACGGCTTGACGAAGCTCCGGGGGCGAAACAGTGCACTAAAATGTCACATTAGTTGCATTTGTTCCTTTTAATCTGGGGTTTTTTTATTTTTTAAATTTTTTGACAGTAAGTGCAATATCACTTGTAAGTTTCCCTTCCCAAACCCTCATGACTGTATATAGTCTCTGTGCCATCAGGATGAAAATAAAAAATTCCAAAGCGTTTTACTTTCCAGGCGTTGCTCCCACACTTTTAAATAAAAGTCGACCTCATCCTATAAAATATTTTTTTGGCCCCTAGAAAGGTTAAATCCCCTTAAAACAGGACTTTTTCCCAAAGTTTTTCTATGGTTTAAATATATTTTCCTTTATTATTTTTAAAAAATATTTTTGATATAAACCTAACTTAAAACATTAAAACTTGACCAAAATAAACTAATAATTTTTAGTAATTTCCCCTTAAATAACCACTATCAGTTTCATCTATTTTTATTATTTAAAGTCAATGATAAAATTTTTAATTAAATTAGGAAATTTATTTTTTAGCTAAATTTTGCATGTATAGCATAAGTCAGTTTAAATTTATTTAATGTTTTAAAACAATTATAGTTTATTTGTTATGTTAAGATATACCCGTTGTTTATGGAACAAATTTTAAAACTGCAATTCGGTAAGAAAAACCCTTGCCGATACCCCAAAAACTCACCACCCTTAGAAAATTTGTACATAACATTTGGAAACAAAAATGCTTTAAAATTCTTCCTGAGAAAACCGAGGGTAAGAATGTCGTGATGCTTTATCCCAAATTGATCAACATTTTGATAAAAACAATTTCCTTTTTTTATTAAATAGACTACGTTTTCCATATACTTTACTGATAGTTTGGTAAAATAATCATTCCCCTCTTTTAGATTTTTATTTTTAAAGGGAAACCCTTAATTTTTTAAATTGGGAATTTTAAAAAACCAACAACTGTCTTATGTGCACTATTTTTAGTCTTCACATTATGATAGAGTTAAACTTCCTGAAAATCTCACCATTTTTTTTTTTTTTTGAGATTTTTAGGGTTTTTGCAGTCCAGAGTTCTTTTTAAAGAAATTTTGAAGATTTTTGAATAGTAAATGATCAAAAATTTTCCCCCCCCCCCAAAAAAAAAAAAAAAAAAAAAATTATTTTTTGTCAAATTGCCAAAATACATTTTAAAACCCTAAAAAAAAATACAAACACAATAAGAATACTTTGATTCTCCCTTACCAGAAAACCTTCATATACTTCTTTACCTAAAAAAATTTTTAAAAATTTTAAAGTTGTTTTTTAAATTTTTAAACAATCAATAAATTTTTGATTGCGAATTCCCCAAATATATGTGGCGTGTCAAAGTTTCCCCTTTAAAAAA